AGACGCGATATGACCACTGCGCTGGCAATCACACCAAGAGCGACGCAGATGGCTATGATCTTGCGCCATTCCGAGATGCGCTCGGCCTCTTCTGTGGCGTGAAGAACCCAGCCCATTGTCGAGTTGAAGAATGTCGTGGCATACGGTGGTCGAGTAATTTAGAGGGAGAGACACAGTTTGTTGGTTTGGGACACCAATTTAACAAAGACATATTTTTGAATTCGTACTCTAAAGGATTAAGGAGGTCGATTAAACCCTGACATGTCAATGGAGCGACTTCTGAAGCTCGCCATGGTCCAAGATGAGGCGAGAGATTTGAACCCCCCTACCCATGGCCCTTCGGTAGAGGAACTCTCTTCTCTCAGTGTTTCCTCCGTCTTCATATGGGACCCGAAAAAAGAAAAACAACCCCCTTTCCTTCTCGAAGGCGGTCTCGGATCATGCAGAGACTCTTAACCTGGCCACCTTATTCGTTACCGTGCGATACATGATGTGACTGAGGACCTTTTCCCGCACGACAGAACCAACAGGACTCCGTACTGTAGAAATCCACCCCCAAGATGCAACAGCTTGCATGTCTCGCGGCAAGGACCAGGTAGGGTAGAACCAACAGATCTTACAGGGGGAGGGGAGGGAAAGCGACGGACCGCATCTGGTCCCCCATGCAGCAGGGATGCTTGACGAGACAACCTCCAGGGATGTCCAACGGGCGTTATCACCCCCAGTTGAGAATCCGGAGGAATATCTAGATTACCAGTAGATGCCCGTTATGGCAATCATATAATGTTGCATGGGGTATGGAGACTGCATATGCATGAGCTGGGGGGGACCACTGTCCGGTTCAAGGGTTTCAGGTCGAGTCGAAGTGAGTGGCGTTTTCTTTGCATCAGCTCGCCTCTGGTTGCCTTCTCGTATCGAACTGTTCCTGGAAGGTTTCCCTCCTCGCTTGTGCCACTTTTTTCTTATTTCTTCGGCGTACGGGTCCTTCGGGTTTAGACTTGTTTTCTCTCCCATTTACATTCATTTCCTCCTTTTGTAACTGGATTATATATATAACCGCTGGTCGTTTATTTTTTTTTCTGTTTTATGCGCTTCAACATTACAAATTCTTTTGTTTACTCCCCTTTGTCCCACGCGTTAAACATGTCTTCCCTGGAGGATCAGCAAAAGGACGTCTACGTCACTCACTCGTCGCACGGGTCTGAGAGTAGCGCGAGCAATGTCGACGGCGCGTGGAAGTTTCTCGATGATCATCGAGAGGTGGCGGCTAACAGCGAGCCCGTTGACATCGATCGTCTGAGACGCAAGATTGATTGGCATATCGTGCCTTTGATGTTTTGCTGTTATACGATGCAGTTCCTCGACAAGGTCATTCTTAATGTCAGTACCCCCCCCTGTCCATGGTGAGACTTGCATGTGCGTAATCTAACATTGCATTCTGCAGTACTCGGCCGTCATGGGAATGAACAAAGACCTTGGTCTCAAGGGTAACGAGTTCTCCAACGTTGCCACGTTCCTGTTTGTTGGACTGCTGTGCTTTGAAGTCCCCAACAGTGAGTGCCAAGTAACCTCCAAGAAGACACAAGCGATTAACGAGATAAAGTCTACTTTTTGCAAGTTCTTCCCGCTGCCAAGTGGCTTGGCGCCAATGTCATCCTCTGGGGCGTCGCTACCGCCTGTGGTGCCGCCGCTCACAACTACACCACCCTCCTCGTATCGCGAGTCTTTCTCGGTATCTTTGAGGCAACCATCGGTCCTTCCCTGATGCTCATCAGCAGCCAGTGGTACACCAAGTCTGAGCAGGCTCCTCGATTCTCCTTCTGGTATCTCGGTCTGGGTCTGGGCCAGATTATCGGAGGTGCTGTGTCGTTTGGCTTCCAGCACATTGGTCCCGGTGCTTCTCTTGCTGGCTGGCGTATCATGTTTGTGACTCTCGGTTGCATAACTGTGCTTATCGGTCTCTGCACCTTCTTGCTCCTTCCTGACACGCCTATGAAGGCTAAGTGGTTGACACCTGGTGAGAAGGTTGCTCTGCTTAAGCACGTCAGTGTCAACCAGACTGGTATCGAGAACCGCAAGTTCCGTCCCAAGGAGATTGTTGAGGCTCTCTGTGATCCTCAGCTCTACCTCATGCTCGTCTCTGTTGTCTTGGTAAGATGAACGTTTGTGCTTCGATCCTCTGCACCTTGCTAACATTTGAATTTAGCTCTCCGTCTCGAGCGGTGTTGTTACCACATACTCTTCTACTCTGATCCGCAACCTGGGCTACAACTCCAAGAAGGCTGCTCTCATGAACATGCCTTCTGGTGTCGTCAGCATCTTCTTCACCCTTGGTGTCGGATTTGGAATTCGACACCAGTCGCACCGCTGGGCATGGATCATTGCCTGCATTATCCCTGCGTAAGTCACTCCAGAGGAATGTCTGATAATCTGCTAACAATTTCCTAGCATCATTGGTGGTGCTTTGATGTCTTTCCTCCCTGCCACCAACAAGTCCGGTTGCCTTGCGGGTATCTACCTCGTCAACGCCGTCGTCGCTCCCCTGACCATCTTCTACAACGTAAGTTCTCCTGAGGACCCGGTTCTTACTCTCACTAACGTTCAAAAGTGGACTGCTGCCAACTTTGGTGGTGCTACCAAGCGAGCCTTTGCCGCTGCCATCGTCAGCGGTTCATTCTCTCTCGGAAACATCATCGGACCCCAGACGTTCCAAGCCAAGGATGCTCCCGACTTCCGCCCTGCCAAGCTCGCAGTTATGGGAACCCAAGCTGGCTGCGCCGTGACCACCTTCTCTCTATTCCTGTACTACGTCTGGGCCAACAAGAGACGTGACGACCGCAGCAAGGGTCTGGAGGATTCATACATGTCCCCTGAGGTCTGGTCAACCATGACCGACAAGGAGAACAAGTTCTTCCGGTACACTTATTAGATTACGCGTATCATAGATAGATTCCAGAATGGACCCTGAATGCAGATTTTACGCCCTTGAACGATTCCCTCCTGCAGTTTGCATTCGCGTCATTTTTTGTTCATGCACATGCCAGGCCAGTGTGATATCCTGCACAGGGCAGATTGCGGCTTTTTTAAAGAACCCTTGATGTGCCCATTTCTTTTCCAAAGTGGGCTTATGGTCATTTTTCGCATCTCTACCCCCGGTCAAAGGCTGAAATCTGAAATCCTGGTGGGATAACAGAGCTGTGACCATGTTAGCAGAGCAAGGGTGGTGCTTGTAGTTCAAAGGTCGTTTTTTCGGCGTTGTATGAACACCTCAAAGGGTAAGCATGTTGCATGTGATCCGATGATCGAGGGGAGGAGTATCTGTTCTCTGGCGAGGGTGTATATGTGTAGGCTTTGTTAGGTGGTTGTTATCTTGAGCTTTTGGTGTTTGCCTAGGCTCACCAAGCCGGCAATCTTAGCGGACACGCTAGCAGTAAGATGAGGCAGATCTCCTGCCAAGAATACCGAGTCTATTAGCAATGTGCCGACGGAGAAACTGTCGATCAACGCCGTGCTTTCACCACCCACAATCTCACCACTAACAAACAAAAGCGTCGTCAACAACCCACCAAACAGGCTTTCCGAGAGAGGAATCTAGTTCGGCTGCCCCGAGCGTGACTGACTGCCCCAAGCGTCGCGGGCCGGCTCACCAAAACGCGTCGGCCGTAGGATCTACAGGGTCCAGCCTTGATAAGTGGCGTGACGCTGGGAACAGGGAAGTAGATCCAAACGCCTCCGCTCCTCGCTTGCGCAAATCGCACGTTTTGAGGGAGGAGTACCCCAGGAGATCGAGCAATGACGCCTTTTACGGTTGAACGTCTGTTTCCACTTCAAAGGGGGTTCAGGGGAGAGCGGGACCCGCAGAAGCTGAAGATTGTCAGACTGTTATCTGGGGATACTCGTATGATAGGAAGTATGGGGATGGAGACATTCATATCAGTAAACGTTGTCTTTAGTAGGCTCAGCTGAAAGACACTGACCAGGTAGGGGCGGAGCTGGTCTCTTGTTCTGATCTTTGCAACAACAACGACCCCCACACGGAAGCCGGCAAGCGCTACCCAGCAGACAAACACCTCACTCTTTGTCCACGGATAAACAATTGTATGAAACATTCTTGGGATTCAGGTTCACTTGAGGCTACGACCAACGCTACCTCGCCCGTGAACCCCTTATATCCGTCCGTCTGTGATACAACCGTTGACCTCTCATGATTCTTGCTCTCATTGATGTCCGAGTCGAACCTGAAACTATTGGGAGGGCATGGACGTAGGCGCCTCGGGAAAGAATCAGAGAGTTGGTGATACTCTTAGGGATATCATACCAATCGCTGTCTAGTCAAGAGCATAGCACAATCCTTCCTCGGGTCTACCTGATTATGAGACCACGGCCTTATTTGATCCGCAGAGGAGTAACCACCCGAGGTTATTGAAGGATGAAACGGGTCGAGCTTATCCAACTGCCCAGAGCAAACAAGAGTGGGCACAATGAAGTTTGTTACACATGATTTTTACGTGACATATCTGTCAATATCAGCTCCTGTGCTGTAGACAAGCGCCTCTCATACATACAATGGTGAGGTTGGAGGCTGAGTTGACATGTGCATGCCTTCGTGATGGAAGCTTTAATTGGCAGTAGGTATAAAGAAACACCATTGAAAAAGTCTTTCTTAATGCTTCGAATCTTTCTCTCAAGTCGCATTCATGTTGAGTTGCGAGGGGTTAAGGAGACTGTAGTTGCTGGGTTGAAGTTCCTAGCTACAAGACAGTTCCCGACGAAGACATGAATTTAACTAAGACCACGCAACCATAACCAAACGAGTCTACCATTTGAGTGATAGAGGTACGTAATATTTATCAATGCGCTAACTTGGACGAGGTTCGCGCTTACATCGCTAAAAAAAAAAAACAAGAAAGAAAATTCATCGACGCCATCTCACTGACAACATCGCCAAACTTCACAACACCAAAAAGAAGACATCTCAACGCCTCAAACGATGGATCTTTTGCGTAATCTGGGAATCGAACCCAGGGCTCCCCGAGCATTGCTATGATGGCAACGGAGAATTTTACCACTAAACCAATTACGCTGTTGTTGCGATGCTGTGATCCATCTCGTTGGTGGATTGTTGGTGGAGCGAGTTGCAATTTCGGCTTAGCTGCGCTACCTCTTGAGTAGACTGAGTGAGACACAGACGCTAGCTCGTTCCTTCTAGTTAAGAATCATATGTTAGATAAATATAATTATGCCATGAATGATGTGTTATCAAGTAAGTAAACTTGATTCATTAATGTCTCTATATAGCCCCCTTCAACAAAGGTCGATAATGCTTAACGTTTCTAGGCCATCTCTCATCCGGCCAAGAATCTCTTCAAACGCTATGATCTTGTCATCCCGCCACTTACGATTATTGGCCTCACTCACCACCTTGTATTCTCCACCACATGGCCGAAGAATAAAAGGCTACTTTGAACCCATAAGTATCCAGAGTTCGTCTCCTTCTTTCGCAAAATTTCTGCATCTCACTACATGCCCCCCGGCTGTCTCAAGATATGAGAACGCAAAAGATTCGATCCATCCCGGAGGAGGCCTCAATGTATCTATATGTAGGCCCCGGACTCGCAAGACGGCAATATTTTCGCCAGTAGAAGTATGAATAACTGATGAACCGACAGCGTCATCCTGGAATTGCTTGTCTAGGCCCGGAAGCCGTGCAAAGTAGCCATCGCCTAAAATCTCGGTTGATGCCCAATCTGGCGCCCATGACGGTAATGTGCTCGCCCTTCTCTTAGTCGCCCTGACGGCGAATGCCAGAATCTCCAAATGTCGGTCAAACTCGAGAATCTTCTGGGCTGTATGTAAAATGGCAGCATCGAGGGTGTTGGATTTGCTATAGTCGGCTTCGATGCCATACCCAGGATGCGCGAGCCCCAGGAAAGCATAAATACGATCTCTGGGATCAGAGCTTCTGCAATATCGAGATCTAGCCAAGATCTTTTTAAGATCTTCATCACCCCTCCATGTCTCCTTGGTGTTCAGTAGCAGCTCTATGGCCCGAAGGGAGTCGTTTCTCTCCCGCATCACTGTTCCGTGGTCCCCATCTCCCTTCGCTGCTCTAGTTTTGTCTCGCCTTTCTATCTCCAAGTCGTAGATATACATCAATACTGGCATATTCTGCAAGGCCTGACAAAGAAACAAAAGGAAAGAAGTGTGTGTAGAGGAAATCGTGCTGTTGTGGTACATGAAGATGGCGCTTGGTGAGCATATGAACTCCTGGTGAATCCAGGCGCGCCTCCACCAAGGGCTCTGAAAAAGCCCATAGAAGGAAGCCCAACCTTCCAAGAAATTGGAATTTGAAAGATTTACCCCCAAGATATCCTGGAGCTTGATGGACGTAAGTTGGGATGTGCCTAATGTTTGACAGGCTTCGGCAAGCTCCTTTGCCCAATCTAAACCGTTGAAACTAGTCTCCGATTGGTCAGCCGTTGAAAGCGAGATGAATGTTCCTCGGGAGTTGGTATAGATATCCCGCATGAGGCTGACTTGGTGCGATCGTTCGGCGTCGCTCCGCTGATTGATGCATATCTGATCGACCCAGAGGACGCATTCCCCCCCTGGATACTGGGACTTCCACACTGACAGCGTCTTCTCAAGGGCATGGTTCAAGTTGGCGAATACATTAGACTTGATACCTTGCAAAAGAACGGGGACTGCATTTGATGGGTCTCCTGCACAATAAGACAGTGTGTGGTAACTTTCACTGGCTTCCCGAAGGCTTGACTGTGGGAGAAACTCGCACTGAATCAAATCGCAGTGCTCGTCTCTGAAGACATGGATCAATCTGATATCTTGCGCTGTCGAGTTCAAGTCGTTGTAGGAGTACAATTTGTAGAAAGAGTCGTTTTCCGGAGTCACAAATGTTCCTTGGGAGGGTTGTGGACTGCTGCTCAGTGGCTCAATGGGCACCAAGTCCTCAACTAGGGGCCTCTCGAGGGGGTTATTAGAATAAGCAGGCCCGCCAAGGTCAAACCCGTCATCAGAAAAGGTGACTTCCGGATCCGACATGATGATAAACGTGGAACCTTGAACTGTCTGAGTTTCATGAACAGGTGGGTGGAGAGTGTTTGAAATGGGGGCAAAGTCTGCGAGGCTGCGAGCTTGGGGATCTTGGCTCAGAAGCCTCCCCCCACCGCCCCTTCGAGCCCTTGACCACGCTTGGGGATCTTAATCTGTTGGCCACGTCACGTCTGCATACTTCATCATCACTGGTTGTACAGGTATTGGCAGGATGCATGGGTTGCAAGGCAGAGAGGGTGGCTGAGTCATGGCCGCCTTGCCAGGCTGGTGGTTCGCCTACAGTTCGCCATTTTTAAGCGAGGGGTAGGCAAACCATCACGGTTTAACAGTAATGCAGACAGTCCAGGTACTATATAGCTACTTTCTTGTTCATTATACTGCACTGGTGTAGCTGAACTATAATAAGATTTAAGCATTGCCTTGTTCACATGGAGCTAACATGATTCATTTTACTCATCCAATATATATCAGGCAGCATGGAAAACGTGACCCTCATGACAACAAACCGCTCGCCGTCTTTACAAATAATGGCTTGCACGTCTGAGTGATATACCAGTACTTATGAGCGGCCCTGTCCTTTTCGTCGGGGGTCATAGTGTGGAAGTAAATATCGTCCCAGACGTTGGGGTCAAACTCCTTGCCTTCAAAGTTGCCCTTGACGTGGTCTTCCCAGTGCAGATCCATGGCTTTGAAAGTGAATTTCAAGCCTAGGGATTTGGCGGTCGCATTATGATCATAGTCCTCATCCTCGTCCTCGTTTTCGTCGTCATCCTCACTCATGACCTCATCGCTGTCCTGGCTCCTGTTGTCGTCACTGTTTCCGCCGTCATCACCATCGCCTTCATCACCATCTTCGTCATCCATTTCAGATCCATCCTCATCATTATATTCAGGCCTCTCGTGACCAGCAAAGCAATACCACATTAGATACCCATTCGCCCCAGTATCGCCCCCATCCGGGTCGTAATAGTCAAAGAGGTTGAACTGCATCGTAATCGATGGCTTGCCTCTGGAAGACTTGACAGTGAGGCCCTTGTCCGCGTTTTGGTTTTGGGTCTTCTTGCTCCATTGTCGAGAGAGGAGTCGAAGTGATTTCTTCCAGACGTTCGGTGGCGCACTCAATTCTCCAAACCAAAAGATAAAGGTGATCTTGTTCAATGTCGGTATCTCTTCCTTGATCTGAAGGAGAAGTGGGATGAGATAACTAGGGAAATCCTTGCTATCCCAAAATTCGTAGTTTTCTTCTTCGGCTTCATCCGACTGCGATGCCTCGACAATGAGCCTCTCACATTTCTTCTTCATCAGACCGGGAAGATTATCAAGATATGTCTTAAGCTTTTCGCAGTCGAGTCCTCGTCCCTTCACCCACTCGCTGGGTTCTTGAATCGGGAGGACGAGGGAGAAATCGCCGGTATAAGCGCGTTCTCTGAGATCGGCAGAGATGACTGGGTGAACGTAAAGCAAAGGGCTAGCCTCTCTGGTGTATCCAGTGTGCGCTGCGTTCAGAATATTGGCTTTGACATCGGGGTTGAAGGCTAGATCATAGACAAGGTTGCGGATCTCTGGTGGGAGATGGAGAAAGGATGTAGGCTCAGATGAAGACATCTTGAGCCAGGAAAAAAGAGGTTAAGAGAAGAAGAGTTTTGCTGACATTGAGAAGTGGGAACAAGAACTATTTATGGGCTTTACTTGACCAACAGAGTTCTGACCAACGGGCGTTGGTTATTAGTGCTTGGCCTAGGCAGCGACGAAGACTAACAGGGGTTTGCATGTCTAGGGTTTCATCTTGGTGAAGTTCACCGATAATGAAGAGTTAGTGGCACGTCCTTTTGGTTCTGGTGAACAATCGATAAAGGGACTTGCATACACCTGAAAACCAATCATTACATTTGCGTTCTTGGAATACATACGAAACTCTGCGTACATCACCGCAAGAAATGATCGGCAACCTTCCAAGCACCCCAACATCCAACACCCAAAGCCGACCAAGCAAGCAACCCCCTCACAATAAGAATACCCTGAACAATCTGAAAAGTCTTCTTCTCATTTAACCTTGGAAAAGGCTCCTCCGGAACATCCTTCCCCAGAAACTTGCAAAGAGGCTCATATCCATCCTCAGCTTTGAACTCGAGCACCTCCTTCCCTCGCTTCTTCGCCTCGGCTCTCACCATGTCGTAGTATCCGTTGTAACATCTTGCAGTAAAGATATCGCCGTCGCCGAAAAGCTCTTGGCAGTATTTTGTTGATTCTTGGTTGAGTTTGTACCAGATTCTGTCTGTCGTCCAGAGAAGGCCTGTCCATTTGAACCATGGTGAGAAGATGAAGCTGAAGCTGTCGGCGGCGCTGCGTGCCCAAACTTCAGGGTCAGGTCGTCCATTTAAAACGATTTTGACGTCGGGGTACATGTCCATAAGGTCGGGAGTGAAGAAAACAACAGGAAGATCACAAATGGCATAATGTCCATGGATGAGTTGGCGCAGCATCTTCTGACGAACCTGCGTGTCCTTTTCACGTACAGCCGCAAGAAGAAGTCGCATACGATCCGCATGAGGAATGATTTCTGCCATGTGAAGACATGGTGCAAAACCAATCTTTTCGAGAGCTGCTTGCAAGGATGATGTAGCTGCGCGAGGGAGACCAGCTCCGATGACCATGAGCGGCACTTCCTCGCCCTGATCTTGACGCGGCTTGTTGTCTGTGATGAATCGCATTTTGACAAAATTATTGAGTTGAAAGGGAAATTGAAGCGACGAGCCGAAAAATCTCATTAAATACCAAATCTCACGTACGCACGTCGCACGGTAAACCTTCAGGAATGCTAGTGCTTATCCTTCGTCATACCGCCAAGACTTTGTTGTCTGTCTCGCAAAATGTTTACTGAGTTCATCTTACGTTACCCAAGCCCATGTAATTCCAACATTCTATTTACGACGTCAGCAAAAGCGGTGAAAGGATCGAATCCTACTTACTCCTCAAGCACAAGTCATTTTCAAACACAGCTCGACGAGGTTC